GATCTCTACCATAATCATATCGTTGTTGTTATATTTGCGTGCAAAATTTTTATGCGAATCCCGATTATTGCCCAAGAAAACACAGTGGCTAATAAATGGAATTTAATGTTCAGAATTCACTGCAGCCTTCATCTCTCAACCAACTTGATTAATTTTTTAATGAAAGCTTATAAAATTTGCAAGAGACTAGTTAAGCCCGATTTTTGATTGTTTATTTGTTTATATAAAATTTTTTTTAGTGCAAAATGCAGAAAAAGTGTAAATTTTGAAGAAGCCCGATTCTCCTGTTGCAGTTGATAAATTTTACCTAACAAAAACTAGTTTAAAACTACTGTAGGGTTGCCCCAAAAAATTACTTATTTGGGAGAAAAAGTGTATTTTCAATGTCCGTGAATCAGCAAAACAAAAAGTGCTACGCTCCGAAAGCATCCTTTTAAATAATGAACTCTTTAAAACTGAAAAAACTTCTGCCCATCCGGGTGTCGAATTTGCACAAACTACAGTGACAGCCGAAAATTCACCTGACGAGTGTCAAGTAGCGAAAAAATTAAGACGTTCCGGCGCTGATGACCTTCCACCAAGCAGGTAACTGCTCACATTAACTACAAGCAATCGAAAACAAGAAGGCAAAAAGTAAGATATAAACTTTGCTGGTCACCCCATGTTCATGTTCTTTGGATTTACCTGAGCTCTTTTCGTAGATACACTCTTGGTGGAGATGGGCTCGAAGACACCAAGTCACACAATTCCAAAAGTTATGCGTTAACATACTTAAAAAAAAAATCCGACGAGTTGATAACTGTTTTGAACTCGTATAAAAATTGTAAGTTTGAATTTTTTCAATGTGAAAAAAGAATTGTTAAAATCTGGCTTCATTGTTATTCCTTTTTGGCATAGATTTTTAATTTTAATTTTTAGAGACTTTTATGTTGTTGATATGAAGATTTTGGCTGAGGAGACCCCTAGTAAAATTTTCCGAAGAATAACTCTCTAGAACTTTTTAGTTCTCTCACGATCTTCAAAATTTGCTCTTTTGATAGGCCTTTGGAAGTAAGGGTCTACGATAATATTTCCCAATAAATTTTACTGTATACGTCTTAACCTTTAATTTATCCCAGACATTTATTTTAGACATTTTTTGAAACCTACTCAGGCCGCGACATGAAAACAGNTTTATTACTGGATATATATAATTTCAGAAAATATTAGCAAAGTCTGGGCTGGTTTCGGCTGTGGCATAGTGTAATCAGCTGACTTAATTAAATTATTAATTTTTTATGTAGTTAGAGTATGGTAAGAATAAAACTAAAGTTTATTTTAAGATACAGGACACAATTCTTTTTTTAATTTATGCCAAAAAAAACCCAAAAAGGTGGGTTCTTTGTTTAGTGTTTCTATGCTAACCAATTCGACGTTATTGACAGCTTCATAGGCGTAGTCTCTGCATTGCAAAATGCAGTTTTCTGCCAGTACGACTTTGCCTCACTTGGCCATTTTTTATCGTTTGTCAAGGGAATATTTACGATTACTTCTTTCTTTTGTAGACTTCATTAAGCTATTAAGCACTATTTACAGATGTGTCACCTTCATTTTAGCTTGTCACATATATATTCATATATACGAATTTTACCGAATAAGAAACGTGAAATAGCAGATTTACTTGCAAGTTACACTTTCTTTGATAAACTTCCTAACCAACCTTTTATTTGGATATTCAAACGCAATTGACGGTGCTTTCCATGTTCTTGTTCGATGAATTTCCAGATTTTATTTTATCGTGCATATTTTGTTAATACTTGCTAACCGCAATAAACAAACTTTTAATAGTAAACAAAATTCGCCTTTGGGTTTTCGATTTGTTGCAAAATTTCCTTATAAAAGCATTAACGGCTACTGGCTCTCAGTATAGTCGAGCTGCACTAATCGAAGTATCAACAACTCATCTCGCGACCAAGCGCAATCACGACTTGCGAATTTCAAAGTTAATTGTGCAAGTCAACATTTACGTGCTAATTATTCAAAAAAAAAAAAAACGAGAATATTTTAAAATGCGTAAAATCGCTATCGTTCTCTTAGCCTTGTTGGCTTGCTCGAGCGCCTACCCTGTGGAGGAGGAAACTATAAGCGTGCAAGTGCCAGAAAGTGCAGAACAAGCATTAGAAAGTGGAAATGTGCTGGAAACTGATGTTGTGACAGATGATGTGAAAGATGTTATTGTTCCAGAGGCATCGCAAATCGGAGTGTCATCAGCTGTCCAGCAGCTTTTGGAAGTGGATGCCGGTGTGCCGGCAAACGTTGAAGCGCGTAGAGAGGCGCGTCAATTCTTGGGTGGCTTTGGCCGTTATTCAGGCTATGGCGGCTATGGCGGCTATGGCGGATACGGATACAGACCCTACTCCTATGGTGGTTATGGCGGTTTTGGCGGATATAGGCGCCCATACCACGGAGGTGGTTTTGGTTATCCATATGGTGGATTCTATGGTTAAGAACGCCAAAGTAGTAAACGTAATAACTTAAGTGCATACATATATTGTGATAAAAGAGATCAGCAGACAGAAAAATTGAATATTAAAAATAAAACAGCAAACACAAAACTTCCTTTCCTACGCGTAATTGTAATTAAAATTACTGTGAAAGTATTACTTATGAAAAGTTTTAATACATTTAACATTAACTACTCCCGGTATATTGATGCGACTGACCAAATAGTGCAATGTCTACTTTCTTCTCACTAGCAGAGCTGCCGTCATTCATCATGCTATCATTATTTGTTGCTCTGCAAAGTCAGTCAAGATGTTAATTACCGATATGAACCGTTGCACCAAAGTTGTCCTTGCAGCCATTGCGATGCGCTGATATCACAAGCTCAACTGTTTTTACTTTTACTGTTTTTCTTTATCTTTGTTATGGCTCAGAGCCTCTTTCATGCGAAAAGTACTTCTTCATCTATGTACTTTATTTTATACTATTTGCATAGAGCGTTTCAAAGCAAAATCAACGTTCCAACTAAACCAAACCAAAGCAAAACAAAACAACCAAACAACAAAACGTACAAAAAACCATTCAAGTTTTCCGTTTGATAATATCTCGCCTTTTTGTTTGTATGTCAATTTCCTTCGTTTTTCATTCATTTGCTTGACAGCTATTTGGTATTTATTTATTTACTATTTGTTTTGCTGTTTTCTTTTTGCTGCGTGTGTGCGGAATTGCAATCAGATAACACCTTTGCGCCACTCATTCATTCGTTTCCCATTCATCTATTCATAGTCCTGTTATTAACCAACTACTGCCCACTTTACCCGCTATGCAAACGGCTTACGAACGCGCATGACGTTTGCATGTACATATGTATGTATGTATGTGGATGTGGATGTGGATGTGGAATTTCGCTTGCTTGCGCGCGCCACTCATTCAAACCTTCAACGCTTTATTATGGTCAATATGCTTTGGGCATTTGCAAATAGTATGCTCAGCGCTCAGCACTAATTTTAAGTAGTCAACCTGTAGTGCGGGGGTGGCGCCGGCAGCTATTACATACTACATACACGGTTGCCACTCTGGTACAATTGTACCAAATATGGGCCTTTTTTCTCCGTTTAGGCCTTTGGACCTTTTTGTTAGTTTTGGGCCTTTTTGAACCAACTATGGCTATCCGTTCGTTTGGTGTTGGCGGGAGCTATCCGTTTGTTTGATATATGTAGCACTCGCTGCAGCTGCTCGGCTTGTTCTGTTAATTGTTATCGCCATACTGCAGTGGAATTCCGACAATGAATTTCTAGAAAATTTTATAGCCAGTTCAATTTTAGTAAAACAAAGTGCAAGTTTCAAATCGCTAGAAGTTACTGTTGATTTTTTAGATTTCTTTTGTGAAGGGTGTTGCGCGTTTTCTTCGGAAAAAATTTGATTCTTCAAAGTTATCTAGAAGTCATGCCAACATATCTCAAGGTCAAATTCAAAAGAACTGTATTGAATTTTCAGGTTTTTCAACGAATTTTTCACTACCTAAACTTCAAATGATCTCAAACCTGACGCGATGGAGACTAACAAACCGCGGATTCGTATTCAGGGCGTCGAGTATCATAGGGATATAGAGGTTTGGTTCAATATGCAGAAATTTTTGGAAATCTGTGTAATTAACGAAACAAATTTTCATGAAAATAATTGTGAATATGATATTAGAACAAGGTGTACATTCACATTTGATATTGTCTATATATGCACAAATGCAAACAAATATGTAGAGAAAATTTATTATTAAAAAAAAAATTATACATATACATATATATATTTTTGATAGATAGGAAAAAATTATAAATTTTATTTTATTTTGGTCCTTTAAAATTGGATATTGTGGTACACAAAATTTTGATGAAGTGGCAACCGTGACTGCATAAGTATGCATATTTTGGTAGAAAAAAGTTGTTCTGCAAATGCAACTTGGCATTGGTTGGGGGGGGGGAGGGGGTCGTCGCAAGCTATTCCAACTTCTAAACCTAATCGCCAAGTAAATAGTGAAAGAGCTAGTTAAATGAGTTGCTAGCTGTAGATGCTAGCCGCTGAAAGAGTATTTTCGTAAAGGAATTGAACATAGCAAACTTTTATAGGGTGTTTACATCAAAGTTGCAGGCAGAAAGAGTTTAGTTTCAGTCTTCTCCTCTCTTCTTTTGTATGCGCATCAGATTTTATGGAGCTCATGCTTCCGTTGGATCGCCTAGGAGCTGGCAGGGCATGTATCAGCTGTTACGCAGAATTTGGTCCGTTGAATATATGGTAAATCCATAAAAATGGCGACCCTGCCGTTTGCGCCAATTATCGTATAATTAGCCTTCCTAATATTGCTGATATGGAGCTCATGCTTCCGTTGGATCGCCTAGGAGCTGGCAGGGCATGTATCAGCTGTTACGCAGAATTTGGTCCGATGAATATATGGTCAATCCATAAAAATGGAGACCCTGCCGTTTGCGCCAATTATCGTATAATTAGCCTTCCTAATATTGCCGATATACCGTGGGCACACAAAATTGTCAATAAAAATATTCGCAAAGATATGGGCAAAATGTAGTAAAATTGCGGGTTTAATTTTTCTCTCTGACGTCAGATTAGGGGTGTGGAAAATGTTCTTTTAAAACTTTGTCCTTGAATATCCTTGAAAGCTTGCAATATTTATATTTGAAAAAATTATATATTAAGCACTAAAATAAACGCGATCATATCTTCGAAATTCGTCCATCCTCCTAACTTTATTAGCTTTGAATAATATAATTTAATAATATAACATTTTCAACTTATTATTTCTCGTATACGAAAAAAACTTTATTTTTTTCGAATTCATTAAAGTTTGCACTTTCACTTGGTACCCGTATTGTTATTCTACGTTGCACTGTTTTTTTTAGATAATTTTTTGAAATAAACTTATTTAAAAAAAAAAAATCCTGACGTCAGGGTAGAAGTGTTAATTCCGGCCTTTTTTTGGTCTCTAAAATCCCAGGATTCTTGGCAAATAATCCCGGAATTTTCGGGATATGTAATAGAAATAGAAACTCCATTTCTTGACCAGTATTGGCTATATTTATTTATCATTATCATATACTTAACACCGTACGATAGTAAATTTTACACACAAAAATCAATATATTCGTGAAACAATGGGCCAAATATTGTAAAATTGCGTTTTTAGTTTTTCACCGTCCTTGACGTACATAAGTAATTCCAAAATGATTTAAAAAATTCAGTGAAATGTGCTTAGAGTAGAAGTATGGGTAGGTTAGGTTAGGTTAGGTTAAAGTGGCTGCCAGTGACCCCACTAGCACACATAGGCCCTAGGTTGTGGGCCCGTTGTGATACCACGCGGATCGTTAGAACCCTCCTACTCAAACCATCGTGTGGATTTTGCGAAACCCAGAAGTTGCCGTATGCCTACTTCGGCTATGTCGGTTAGGTCCTCAAAGAATCCTGAACCCATGAACTTTTGTCTTCTTCTACAAAGTGCGGGGCACTCGCATAACAGGTGCCGCAAGGTTTCTGGCTCTTCCTCATTTCTGCAGCTTCTGCATAAGTCGTTATGGGGGATCCCTAACCTCTCCGCGTGCCCCCCGATAGCAATATGGCCTGTTAGCAGACCCACAGCTGCGGCTAGGTCTCCTCTGCTCAGCATGAGGAGATCCTTCGACCGCTTTTGTCCCATTTAGGCCATGTAAGCTTCGTGTTGTTGCAAGTGGTGAG